GGCTTGGTAGAAAAACTGTCCCCGCGGCCCCAAGCCTTCCTGCTGTCAGCTGTGCTCTTCCCAGAAAAATGCCCATGCCCTGGGCATCCCTTGAGACAGCCCTGGCTCTCCCTGATGTATCCAGGGAAGGAGACAGGAGTGCAGGCTGTTTCCTCTGAGCCTTGTTTTTATTTGTCAAATAAAAATAAAGATTAGTTTCACGAGAGAAGGCAACTACTTAGGAAAAACTGCTTCTCTGGCTTAGACTCTCATATATGACTATGTAGCTTTCATCTAGAACTTCTAGATGGGCCTCAAAGAGCAGCCCTCCTTTCTCTTGAAGCCAGCATTTAAAAAAATAATTTATAGGGGCTGGGGATTTAGCTCAGCGGCATAAGCACCTGCCTTGCAAGCAGGCGGTCGTGAGTTCGATCCCCGGTACCAATAAAAATGAAAAAGAAAAAAAAAAATTTATGAGCAGGGCATGGTGGTACATTCTTGGAATCCTAGCACTGTGGGAGACTAAGTTTGGGCAACTTAGCAAGACCCTGTATTAAAAGTTTAAAAACTAAGCCAGGAGTGGTGGCTTACGACTGTAATCCCAGCACTTGGGAGGCTGAGGCAGGAGGATCACTGTGAGTTCGAGACCAGCCTGGGCTACAAAGTGAGCTTAAGGCCAGCCTGAACTGCACAGTGAGACCCTGTCTCAAAAAGACAAAAAAAAAAAAAAAAAAAAAAAAAAAAGTTTAAAAACTAATAAAATTTTAAAAAGGTGGTGGATGCAGCTCAAAGATCCTGAGTTCAGTCCAAAATACTGATATATATATATAGTACTGATATAATATATATTAGTACTGATATATATTAGTACTGATATATATATATATATATATATATATATGTAATTTTTTTTTTTTGGCGAGTAGTTGTGGTAGAACATGCCATCTATGCTTCCCAATTGATCACTGGGGTTTCTTTTTTTTTTTTTTTTTTTTTGTCTTTTTCCTTTTTATCGGTACCAGGGATCGAACTCACGACTGCCTGCTTGCAAGGCAGGTGCTTATGCCGCTGAGCTAAATCCCCAGCCCTGGGGTTTCTTTTTGATCTTTTATGACCAGCTCCTATTCAGGTCCCTCATAAGAACCCCAAGAACTCCAGGTTTTGAAGGAATGCCCAGTGGGGCAACTTTCACTGATGGCCAGGGGCGTGGGGCAACTTTCACTGATGGCCAGGGGCGTGGGGCACCACCAGGGCCCAGTGGGCTGCTCCGAGCCCAGGTTCATGTTTGCCTGCCGGCTTGTCTCCTCACCTAGCAGGTGATTTTCTTATCCTCTTGCCCATTCTTGATGTTTTTTCGAGCCCGTCTCTCCTGCTGCTTTCCAGATGCCCTGCAAGTGTTTACAACCCTGGATGCCAACACCTGGACACCATCGTCTTCTCTGCTACCAGGGGGTGTTGGCAGAGTTGCAGCATGAGCTTGGAGTAAGTTCAGGGAAGGACCTACTGTCCTGAAGAAGTAGGGAGACTGGACCCCAGCAGGTGGAATATACCCGACCCTGCTCTCTGCACTCTGGGTACTGGCCAGTGCCTCCCTTCCCAGAGCCAGCAGGCTGCCAGGGAGAGAAGCTTGTGCTGTGTCTGCAGTGGCACCTGCCTGAGCTGAGCAAAGTCCACTCGGGTGCAAACACAACAGTTCACCCAGTGGGGTGCTGTGCCCTGATGGTTTGCCAGTGGGCACTGTCAGAAGCACCAGGTGTCCCCCCAGTGCCACCCGTGGTCCACAGGTGGATCTGCCCATTGGGGTTCTCATTTCTGGCTTCTCACCAACCTGTCGGGGTGACCTGGAATGAGTTCCCAATTTCATTCTTGTCTCTTGTTTGACCAAGCACCTGAACTGTCAGTGCTGTTTCTTGGCTTTCCCAGGTGCAGGGTGATTGCTAAGCAGGGACTTCCAACCCTGCTACGTGACCTCACCTGTGGATCGGCTGCATTACTAGGGCTCCCTTTAACACTCTCCAACCAGAAGTCCACCCAAAGCAGCATAGGACACATTTAACAGATGCTGGGGATGTCAGTCCAAACAAGCCACAAGTCCCCTCAGCTGCGATGGCCCCAGCTGCAGTAGTGGGACACATGCTCACGTGCTGAGCCTCCAAGCAGTTCGTTCTGCCTGGGACCTGTCTTCACCGTGGCTTAGCTAGTGTACTCTTCCTGGCCCTGTGCTCCAAGATGTCAGAGGAGGCATTTAGGTAAATTGAGTTCAGAGTGAGAGCCTGGCATGACTCTCCTCAGGTTTAGAAACCATCGGTTTTCTCTATTCCAGTTCATAAGTGGCAACGTCTAAGACAATTTTCTGTGCTGGAAGCCTGCTCTCTTTTAGACTTTTTTTTTTTTTTTTTTTTTTTTTGAGATAGGATCTTGTTGTATATCGTGTGCTGGCCTTGAACTATGTAGCAGCAAAAACTCAGCAATCCTGCCTCAGCCTCCCAAGTGCTAGGATTACATTCATGTACCTCTATACCTGGCTCAGATTTGAATGCACACAAACCATCCAGGGATCCAGGTGACAGTGTTCACCTCAGCCCACATTGGGCAGCAGGATAGTAGCAGATGAGGGCAAACGGAGTTCAATACTCTGTCAGCAGAATGTTTTCCTGGGGGTCAGCTCTGCACCTGGCAGATCTATGGGGACACCTCCTTAGGAGTCTGACTGGCCATGGGTGGGACCCCCTTACCCCCCTCCCTGCTCCATCCCACCCTGATTTAAATTTTTGAGAGCATGTCTCAGGAGGTTGCTCAGGTTGAATCTGAACCTCTAGTCCTCCTGACTCAGCCTCCCAGAGTGGAGGAGTGCTGGGACTGCGATCCGAGCCACCACTCTGGTGTCTTTTTTTTTTTAATGTCAGTTCTGCCTTGCGCTGCCTTTCTGGAAGCCGCCTTCTAAGTTGATGTGAATACAAACCGGTATGTGACTCCGGGATCCCACTCCGGGTCTTTATTCCCTTCAGTGGCCTGCAGCACTCCTGTCTGGACCTGCTATGACCTGGCTAGTGCCATCTCCAATCACACTGTCCCAGGGAGGTGGCTTCAGGCTGCCCTTGGGATGCTCCTCCTAGAAAAACCCTTCTCTCCGAGGTGGATCTCTGCTGGCAGATAAACCTCCTAGGCTTTCTAGTAGATTGGAGTATCCTGGCTCAACTGCTGAGTCCCTCAGCCTGCCCCCCACCCCTGATGTGCTGCTTAGAGGGGCAGGAAGGCTGCAGGTTCTTGAGTTATGGGAGGAAGCCAGGGCACTGGCCTGGCCTGTTCACTGAACAGGAAATGTCTGAGCAAGAGATAAAGAACTGGGCAGCAGCTCTGAGAAGTTTTATTCACTGCTGGGGACAGACAGGGACAGGAAAGAATTGCAAGGAGAGGAAAGAATCTCGATCCTGTTGCCTGCTCCCCAGTTTCTAAGTGGGGGGCATTTGGGACAGAGTGATTTTGGGGAGCAAGTAGCTGCCCCAAGTGGAGCCTGCTGACAATAGAAACATTCTGGCAGAGGACTGTGTGATCAGAAAGAGAAGCCAAGGAAAATAACATTTGCAATAGGTATGGATTTCCTGTTTAACACAGGTTTTTATAGGGGACGGAGGAAAAGTGATGACTTCTAAACATTGCTGTGCTGGCAGGGTCTCAGGTCCAGGGCGGATATGAGGAGGGTTGGGGGCCCACCCAACCCAGGCTGGCACCTTCTTTAGACCTGCTTGATTCCTATGTGTTCCCAAACAGCCAGGGCTGATGTTCGGGTGAGGAAACTTAAGCCTGCCACACAGGGTCCCCCACGGCCACCTGTGTATGGGAAGCTTTAGGGCAGTGCTGGGAGAGAGCCAGGCAGAGAATGGTCCAAAACTGCTCTGTTAGAGGCCAAAGAGCAAAGCCTTAGAATCTTCGAGAACCAGTCTAAATGACTCTTGCCCTGCAGGCTTTGGTTTCTTCCTCAACTTGTTGCCACGGCCAAGGCCAGGGAAGTGTCTGGAATGCACCGTGTTACCGGGTCAGCTCTGCCAGTGACCTGCGGCCCTCACCCTCTTCCTCATCTTCGTTTGCCTCCAGAATGCTGGTGGCATGGACACAAAGAGACCTCTTCATGTGGCTGCCATCTTGTGGCGCACCCCTCCCAACCACATCAGACACCCCCAAGTCCACCCGCCAAAAAGCAGCTCACAATTAAAATGTGCTTGTAAAAACAAAGGCACCATTAACTTCTCAAGTGTATCTCACAGATGCCAAAAACCAAATGATCACCCCAAGTCCAAGAGGATCAGTCAGATTTCAAGACACCACACAGGACTTAGGTCTTCACCCTGATGTTACTGGATGCCCCCCAAGTTTGTGCAAAGTGAATCCAGAGATGAACGTGAGAGCATTTCATAGTGGAGGAGGTGCTTTGAACACTGTGTGCTCCCCAGTTTGCTTTATAAACAATGTGTGTGCCATAATACTAGTGGACCTGGCCTTTGATCAGCCAAGGAGACCACATGCATCCTATTCCCCTCCACTCTCTGATCAAAACCAGTGTCTTAAACCTGACTCTGGCCGAAGACATTTGTTAGCAAAATACTTAAAACCAAGCTTCATTGAATGGAAGACTGAGGACGCTTGTGCTCGCCTTACCAGCTGCTGTTTAAATTTCTCCAAGGAGCTGACTGCAACTGGACATACCTAGTCCCAGCCACATGGGAGGCTGAGGCAGGATGTGATTTGAGCCTAGCAGTTATCAACCTGAGCAACAGGGGCCTTATTTTAAGGGAAAAAACATCCCTGTGGGAGGACTGTAGGATTCTTCTGAACTCTGGAACCAAAAGCCACACATGCTTGCTTCCCACATCCCCCTTTCTTTGGTGACATAAAAGGTTTTGGATCTGTGACTCGGGGACACCATGTTGGTGAAATCTGGACTGGAGACAGAGGCACAGGAATTAGCCATGAAGGGACAAGGTGCCTGGGGTGACTTACATGTCTACATATACACATCCATGTATATATAAAACAGTAAAATATTTTAATTCCTTTTACATGGCCACAAGCTTTCTTCAGCCCGGTGACACCTCTGTCTTGTGGTGGCCCACCTCAGTACAGGTCATTCCAGAGTAGCAGGACAAGTCAGCCAAAATCTGCACTAGGAGACCTTGGTATGTGGTCCCAAGGGCCACTGCCTCTGTGGTAAGTTTGACTGTGGCTCAAAATGCAGTTTATCCCAGTTGCAAAAGCCACAGACACCAGCCACGCATCGCGCCCTTCCACTGGATTTTTATGAAACTCTTCCGTAGACCTAGCACAGTCAACGTGCTTAAGATGCACTCTAACATAGAGCACAGGCGCTCACTGTGGGCTGCGAGCCCCACAGTGGGAGTGGTGTGCAGGCTAAGCAGATGCACAGGGTGTGTGTGACAGCAAGAGTGTCACACTGCACGCGTTCCACGCCACCCATCCAATGCCGAGGCTTGTCTCTGTCCGGTTGGTGGCATGAGCGGTGACAGAAACAATGTAATCTAAGGGCAGAGACTGTGCATGTGGAACCCGATGACGGACGACTGTCATCTGGACATCACCTGGAAAGAACTGCAGGCGCCAGCTCTGAAGGGCGCCCGTGGGAGCCCGGGCACCTGCCTGGAGAAAGTGCACTTCCAACGGTCGATACAAAAATAGATTGGCACGCACTTCTGACACCAGGAGGAACCTGTCAAAGCCTTCCCCAAGCCTGCAGCTTGCTCACCTGCTCGAGCACTGTGCTCCGAGGCAGGAAGTCTGCAGGGGCAGTCCTGGGCAGGGAGGGCAGGGCTGTGCACTCCTGGCAGCAGGAGCTGGCCAGGCAGCCTTGGAGTCTGTGCTGGTGGGGAGCCGGGTGGGCACAGCCTCTGCCGCCCTCGTGTACATCTCCCCTTTGGGCAGCAGCTCTCCAGAAGCAGACCCACGATGCCCTGCCCTTTCCAGTGCTGCTTCCCCAGGGCAACTCGGCGAGAGGAAAAGCAGCTTGGGTCCTGGAGCTCCAGTTCTGTATTTCAGGGAGTCAGCGCTGTTCCCCTGAACCCCAAAGACCCGGTCCTTCCCCCCTGCCCCCAAGGCCTGTGCTAGGAGCGCTGGATCAGGCGTCTGTAGTGCGGCATGACTTCATGCTCTGGCAGGTGGAGTGCAAATTCCAAGGCCACTAACACTGGGAACTCGAAGGCAATCAGTTCTCGTCGGTTCAGCCGGAACTTCTCTTCTAGCTTCTGCAATGAAATTCAAGACAACACAAACAGGTTAGTTGGATTTCTCCGAGTACGTGCTGAGCTGTTGGCTGTTGCTCTCACACAATATTTAGGGAGAACAGAGGTTCCAGAGGCCTCGTGCTGCCCACTGCATGGCAGGAAGTGGAAGGACAAGCAGGCGTGTTCTGTAACACCCTACACCCTAGTAATGCATCCCATCAGACTTGGAGACGAGGAGAGCTCAACTCCCAAGAGACGGGATGGCTCATTCCTGCTGCCCCAACCCCCCCTTTAAAGGTACAGTGTGCATCTCAGAGGACAAGCCACACTCCAGCACACACCCGTCTCGGCACTGGAGAGGTACTGGCTGTGCTGCCTGCCCTCTTCAGTCCTCTGACTCTCCCAAGGCTGACGATGAACTGAGCTCCATTTTACAGGTGAGAACCCAGGCTCCAAGGTCAGCGCGTAGTACCTGATACGCAGCTTACCTGGGACTGCCCTGAGAACTAACTTACTCGGGCTTAGAGCCAAAACTACAGTGAATCACCCACGACTACCACTGTAGGTAGCGCTGATGGGGCCAGATGATGATCTGGAGTTCAGTCTTTTCTGCTGTTACTTGAGGTCAGCTTTTGGAAAAAAACCTGATGAGCGATCGGTAAGCAACGATGGCTCTCAGTCACTGGGATGGGTCTGGTTTGGTTCATGGTGACTGCAGGTGGCTTGTTCTACATTAACACTATCAGTTTTTGCAGTGTGGTCTAGCAATTAACTGTACTTAAATGTCTAATATCACTTAATCTTTATTAATATTTGTTGTTTCTAAAGATGCACAGGGGGTATGTTCAACCCCTAGCAGATACCGCAAACCTTGGATTGTATCAAATCCTACAGGTTTACTATGGTGTTTCCTAGCCATGATAGTACCAGTGGTAAAGTTTAAACTAGGCAGTATAAGAGATGAAACACGATGAGTAACACAACTATAGACATAGCATTAGGCTTCTGGGGGTCACCTGAACACAAGCACCGTGATCCCGGGACAGCTGTGCTTAGAAGCAAAGTGGCTAAGTGACTGATGGTCAGGAGCCTAGGCCAGTGGGTTCCCTGGACAGAGGACAATTCATGTCCCAGGAGGGGCCAGGCAGAACACCATGACGCATGGCACTCAGAATGGCATGCGATTGAAAACTTAGGAATAGCTTGTTTCTGGAATTTTCCATGTAATATTTCTGAGCTGTGGTTGACTACGGATCACTGACAGCAGGGGAAAGCAGAGTCGGGAAAGGAAGGGATGACTGTACAAGCCGCCTGAGCAGCGCGCGGGTTGGCTGCAGTGATGACTTCCACCCACATTCATACGTCCTCACTGCACAGGCTGGACGTGGTGTAGCGTTTCTGGAAATCCATAAAGCACTGACCTAAAGAACACTCGTTTCTGTACGGCAGGTGCCCACATTAGCTTCCTTTCTGCCTTTGCTTTGCCATTAGACCGCCAGACAGTGAGACAGATGGGACACTGCACTGACCATGCCTTGTTTTCTGATCCCTGATGCTGTGACATCTTGGGGCCTTGCTGTTCACCCTAAAGGATTGGGGTGGGGCTTTTCTTTAAAAGAAAGGAGATGGCACCCAGGAAACCTATACCCTTCTCCAAAGAGGAGGAAGTGCTGACCGGAGAGCTGGCACATCTGCTGGACACTCTGGTCACACTGCTCACAAGACCCTCACAATTACAGCGGCTCTCCCCTCCGTTATCAGCCAGCTAAGGTGGGGCATCTGACATCTGTGCAGGGAGGATGACTTCAGAGCCTTCATTTTTATTTCCCACTGTGGTCAGCTCCAGAGTCCTTCTGCAAAGACCCAGGACTGACCATCTGTGTCCATCACTCCCAGCCATCAGGACACAAGCCGCTTACATCAATTAAATGCTTGACTTCATGCTTCTTGAGGTCACTTCCGATCTTGGCTGCTAACAGCACACACGCTCCAGCACACAACTTCCGGTTCTGCTTGTTCAGCTTCCCCTTGAGGGCGAGCTTCTCAAAGTAGACAAAGGCCATGGCCACCGTGGGCTCCTCAAAGCCACAATCCTCCTGGGCAAGCTTCCGCATCTCCCGTTTCAGGCTAGAGAAAAACCGGCAGAGAACGGTGTCTTGTTGGAGGCCGAGTTTCAGGGACCCCAAAGAACACAATGACTCCTTCATGCCCAGGGGCGACATGGATTGGGAGTACATCGCTGTGTCAAGGTTCTAGAACCTTTTCTGTTGGTCTGACTGCACAGGCCATGCTTACTCTCATTACTGTCCCAGACCCAGTGCTGCCAAACTCTCACTTCCAGGATGAAAGACAGCAGACCGGGCAGGGGGAGTTACCAATGAATGTCACATGGCACAGCAAGGAACCCCTTGAACGCATGGGGTGCCCAAGTCTCCCCCTGGACTGGGGCCATCCAGAATTGAAGCGGGAAACCATGAAGGGGCACTTTGCTCATTCCAGAGACCACTCTAGAAGTAAATCAGGTGCTGGTCTGAGCTATGCCAGACACCAGCTGTGTTCGTTCATTGGGACAGAAAAGGATCCACCTACGAGCAGGACCGCTGCTGTCAGGAGGACACTGCCCAGCAGATGGACCAGTGTGAACTTTTAACTTTTCCTAAAAACAATCTGTTTTTATGCTGTGGTTTGGAACATGCTAGAATCAAATCTATATCAAGGTACACCTTGGCATAGACATTGGCACATTCCTACCATGTGGGTGTACACAAACACACATGAAGTTCTGCTCTCATGGTATCTTGGCCTGGTGGGGTCAGAAACCTTGACTATGTGGCTGGCAGATAAACCCACAAAGCCAGTCCCATCAGCTATGTGGGAAATAGGTTTGTCTCTGCTTTGGTAACAAGAGATAGGGGCCTTGCTGTTCCCTCCTCCTGGGCAAGTGACTGTGGGTGAATTTATCTCATCTCCTCAGATGCCAGCTGTCCTTTGCTCTGCCAAAATGACAGAGACCTGGGTGCTGTCCAGTCTCTCTGGGTTTCCATGGCATAAATCTTACTGAACATGTAAGCTACATGCAGATAACATGGAATGATCTCTCGTACAAGGCAGCATTCTCAGGCGGGTTTGAAAGGGCTGCAGGGTAGAGCTCAAGATAATCGGAGCTGCCCATACCTCCTGATTTTGCTAAGCGTTAATTTAATGTGAGGAAACTTCTCCTTGAAGGTCTCGTTCATGTCCTTCTTGAGGTCTGAGGGCTTCACATAGTCAATTACTGTGGTCTGAAACAGACAAGGTGAGACAGGTCACTCTTTAAGGGTCTTCACGCTAACAATGCCCAAGTGTGCCTGACCCTCAAGTTCCTCAACATGGCACAAGGTGGAAGTCAGATTAGAGCTGCGGCAAGGGTTCTGCTGAATCCAGAGCCTGCAGGGACAATGGCCTTCTGGAGGTACAGGGAAAACAAATCATTATTAGCAGGATGAAGTAACATTTAGGAGAACTGGCCTGTAGACCTCAAGAGATGGGGGGAGGGAGGGAAGCCCTCGGAGTTGCTGCACTTTGGCTGCCATCCTGCACACAGTGCAGTGTTCCAGGCGTGGGATTGTGACTCATGTAGATCTGGGTTCGGCTCACACTGGACCCCTCACCAGCCACCTGATGCCACAGCTACATTGAGAGTGGCAGGACGTGCACTGTACTGTGCCTGGCACACAGCAAGTATTCAACAGCATGACTATGAGCCAGTGTCCTGACCCAGAGGCAGCGGGCTCTGCAGAGGCTTGGCTAGCATCACAACAGCCATCACAGGCAACATCTAAGCCATTCAGTACCTACTCTGACAAGTCCCTTCCTCAGCCAGCTGGAGTGCACACTGCATGCTGGGCGCCACACCCTAACTAACCGATCTTGTACATGTGCTGTGGGTTTGTTAATGGCCTTTGCTTCTCCTGTAATCGGCCCACACTTCAGGCCCCACAATTCACTGATCCCCAAAGACACCCATGTCCTGGAGGCTTGGTCTAGCCCCCGGGTCCTGACATAGACATCCTGACATGACCCATCCAGAGCTTGCTTTTCCTGCTGGCAAGATGGGTGGAGATGTGGATTTATTTCCAGGCTGAACCCTGGGGAAAGGGAGGCCCAGTCAGCTGATCCCAAGACCCTAAGCTCAGCACCAAGTGCGGCCTACATGGTGGCATCTCAGATGACAAATCCCAGGTTCACAAGTGTGCCACCTACAGGGATAAGTGACCTGCACCACTGCTGTCCTGCCTTGCTGTCCAGCCTTCACCTGGCTACTCGGAGTCTTTTCTAAGTCAGACGTATACACTGGCAGTGCTGTCTGCAATGCCAGCCTTCTGTCAAAGCCCAGGAACAGCCATGTCTTGGCCCAGATCCACCCCACTCCATTTTCAGAGGCAGCACTGACTATGTCTCACTGCACTGGCAGCCTCTCTGGGTGGTCCCATTTCCTGACCTCCAAATGGCCAGAAGTCCTCAAGGGCATGCGGGAGAGGGGAAGAAGTCCAGAGAAAGGGACCAGGGGCACAGGAGGTGGCCACCTTAGGAAGCCCAAGTTCAAGGGCATCCAGCAAAGGGAGCTGTTACCTTGGACTGCTGCAAGTGTGCTACAGTCACACCACTGAGGCAAGAGCCCGAGGACATCATCGAGTCTGCCTGGGTAAATCTATTTTGGAGTGAGGTGGGTTGGGCTTGGGGGAAAGAAATGCCTCCGAGACACAGATGGGAAGGGGATGGCAGAAGATCAGCCTGTCCGTCAGGCCCAGTGGAGCCTGTATCAGCCTCCTGGGGCTGCTGTAATAAGCTGCCCCACCCTGGGGGTGTCACCTTACCACCTTCCTGGGCCGGAAGTCCGGAACCCAGGTGTTAGCTGGCTGTGCTGTCTCCGGGGAGAAGCCTGCCTTGCTCTGCTGAGTTGCTGGTATTGTCCCAAGCTTGTAGGTGCACCGTGACCTCGGCCTTCACGCGGGGATGCCCTTCCACGTGGACACGGGTTCATGCTGGATGGTGAGGGCTACACCAGCCCCCCCACATCCTAACTGCTTTCATCTGTAACGACCCTATTTGCAGACAAGGATGCAGTCTGCAGTCCTGGGGGTCAGGACACTGCCTCTGGGGACATGATGACTGCACACAGCAGTGGCCTCTTCCTAATGCTGCTGTTGCACAGCCTCGCCAGCCTCTGACCTCAGCCCCAGCCCAGCCTGGGCCTTGGCCTGAGCGAGGCCTGGATGGGTGGCTTTTTTCCCTGCCTCTTTTGCTTGCTGTAACAGCTCTCTCTTCAGTCTTGTCCTTGTCCCTGCTTGTCTGAGCTGTGGGTCACTGGAGAGGGACAGACTTGCCACTGGGGAGGGGCTGACCCTGGATTTAAACACAGTTCTGCCAAGCGACTCTTCTGGCTTCTCTATCACCTGCTTCGTGTCAATGGACACCTAATCTTTAGGGCCATTCCATGTCCTGCTCATGCTCAGCTGCACATGACCATCGGGTCGCTGTGCGGTGGCTGCCAGGTGACAGCCTGGCTCTGGCTGTCTGCTCAGCCAAGGCCTCACACGAGTCTGAGGTGCACATCGCCCAGATCTCAGTACAAGGTGGATTATCCCCAACCCACAGGGGCCAGCGATGCTGTCCTCACCGCCCTCAGCTGCAGGACCTCTGAGAAACACCCCGAGAATGGCAGGCCACGGTTCCCCGGTATGTTCCTGTCTGCCTCGGGGGAGCCATCTGATGACCCTGAGACCCTCCCGGTCCTCTGAAAACTTCACTGACAATGCTGAGCTGTGGGCTTGGTCCCAGGAGACTGAAACACAAGCATGGCATTAGCAGCCCCCTCCAGCCACTTCTCTGGGTTTGCCAGAGTAAAAAACTCGAGGCTGATGCTCTGTTCAAACTCACCTGCTTATCTAACTGTCCGAATTATCCAAACTTGCAAAGCCTGGGCCCTCCCACAGTGTGTTACTATAAATCAAAAAGCTAATGACACAGGCTGTAGCTCCTTCCTGACACGGGCCAGCCTGTGTTCACTGCCATCTAATTCCAGGCCCTGGCACTGGCCAGATGAAGGGCTCCTCCTGGTGCAGCTACAGCCAGCAGCAGACCAGGCCATGTGAGTGATGGGTAGCAGCTCCACCTCAAGGTGCTTACAGCTTGCAGAGCTGGCCACTGGGCTCTCAGAGGGGGACAGGTCACTCGAATATACTTTCTCGCAGCTGCTTAGCACAGCTGCACAAAGAGGAAGAGGGAAAGGTTGGCTGGGAGCAGGAGGCCATCCCAAAATATCCAGGGACCAAGTTTGCAAAGCAACCATGGCCAGCCTGCCCCACAGGAGATGGGAAGCAGAGTCAGGAAGGATCAGGGTGGGCACTTCCAAACTCCTCCAGCAGGAAGAGACCACCATGTCTGTGGTAGAGACACTGGGGGCTCTGTGTTCTTTACAAAAACAAGTCCAGCCTTGACTGATCACAAGCAGGGATGAGGCCTCCAAGGAACTGACTGTGGGTTCCAACTCCACCCAAGGCACCAGCTGTGGCACCATGGATGGAGGGAAGGCCATGCAGGGTAGGGCTGGGTGCAACAGGAGAGGGTGGAGGTCCGCCTGCCCTGGTGCTGGTCCTGGGGAACAGCAAGAGGCTCAGAGCTAGGGGCTGCAGGTCTGTCACAGAGAGGACACTTGTGCTCCCAGGCCTAGGAAAGCCTGGTCTCCTATCTCTTAGCCATAGGAATCGGAACAGGTGAGCTCACTACAGTCGGAACTGCTCTTGGGTCACAGACTCTTACCCTAAGAAGAACATTCCAGAGCTCTTATGCCCCAGAGGCTAGCTAGGGACCCGGGGCAGGCATGTACCTCTCTGTGCCTCAGTTTCCTAACCACGCCTGCGAAAGGCAGGAAGACAAAGCTGTATCTGGGAGCTCCTCCCGGCACCTGCAGCCCTGCAGAGTCAGGGCTCCTTTGCTTCCTCTGCACTTGTGTGACGGCTGCCAGTGCTTCCCGCTCAGCTGGGCCCTGGGAAAGCAGATGTTCTGTGCTTGTTCAACTAATTACACAGGGCAGCCCTGGCCTGACTAACCATCCACAGATGGGCATTTCAGCTGTCCTGCGCATTTTTCTCCTTTTCTGGGGGGAAGAGGAGGATGAAGGAGCCACAAGCCTGGAGCTGCATGTGCTGCAATTTCCAACCCTCGATTTCTGGGATTAAATCTCCCGCTTCGCCTTAGGGGAGGAACCCTGAACTTTTCTTACTGATGCGAAGGTTTATGGTGCTGTGTGGCTTTTTAGGTAGTGCAAGGTGAGTTCAGAGCCAGGAGCTTGCTGGCTGCTCTCTGCTGCTCCAGGACTCCTGGGATAGACATGTTGGGTGGATGTGGTGACTTCGAAGGCCACAGGTGTACTTTTACATATGAGATTCTTGAGCAGTGGCCGAGGGCATGCCAGGTTCAAAATTAAGACCTGGGATTGGGAACAGTGCACTCACCCGCCTGTAGTCCCAACACTCAGGAGGCTGAGGCGGCTGACTGCTATGTGTTCAAGGCCAGCCTGGGCTAGACCCAGCCTCAAAAAAGTCACAAACTGATCACCATTGCCACCATGTGAATACCCAGAAAGGGAGCAGATGCTGCTTTGCATCTTTTTACAGAAAAAAAAAAAAGAAACAATACTGCTACATGTTCAACGTGGATGAGCCTTCAAATGCAAGGCCACGTGAGACAAGCCAGACAGGAGCGCATGTCCTGTACGACTGCAGTGATGGGGAACGGGCAAACCCAGGGGGCACCAAGGCCTGGGGCGGTGCGGGCATGGGGAGACCTACAGGGAAGGGGCTTGTTTTGAGGATGATGAAAATGTTCTGAAATTGACTGTGGTCATGGCCATGTAACTTTATGAATATACTGTAAACCAGTGCACTGCACACTGCATCTAATAACAGTCTCCACAACCCTACAAAGAAACAAATACCCCACCCACCTGCTGCCACAACTAAGTATTTGAGGCTCTTTTCTTTATAGTTTTTGAAACAAGGTCTCACTATGTAGCCTAGGCTGGCCTTGAACATGCAGCAATCTTCCTGCCTCGGCCTCCCAAGTGTATAGACCACAGGTGTGTTCCACCACACTTGGCTTGAGGCCTCTTAATTCAACACCAAGTGAAGCTGGTGGCCTCAGCTGCCGCCCCCAGGTTCCCATGGAGCCGTCCCAGTTTTAGCCACGCTTTTATCACCTGTCATCACTGGCCTCAAAGTGGTCCATGACCCCCAAGGAAATAAGCTTCAGGCAGGAAAACCCAGGGGCTAGAAGGGACCTTGTGATGGAAGGGCTTGGCATAGTCCACCCCACAGGCCAGAAAACACCAAAGCCACAGTTGCAATCTTCCATGAGAATAAACCGATAGAGACACCAAGTCTTAGCTGTCTCGGCTGCAAATCCCAGTTGGAAGAGCGACTCCCACACATGCCTGGGGACTGCAGGGCCAGGCGAGGACCTGACTCTGGCAGGAAGCGAACTTACCAGGAGAGGTGCTGTGTCAGAGCAAACACGCACTGTGCTGCCAGCCCGCCAATAACCCACAGGGTGCTCCTGCTCTGACTTCGCCCTGAGGTCAGCAAGGGATTTCTTCACTTGAAAGAAAAGGAGCCTGAGAGCCAATCAAACAGGGTCAGCTCTGCTGGCATCACCTCAGCTCTCCCTTGCCTTCTACCCTTAATTGCTTTCCACACCCGTAAAGGGAGAGAGAAAAACAATGAAAACCTTTACCAACTGAGCTGCCAGGTCTGTGATAAATAGCTGTCTCCATCGAGGCTCTAATTATACCCCAGCTGGGAGCATCCGGTGGTGACTCAGGATTCCCGCCCGCTGGGCCAGGGCTGAGGCCCTACGAGAGCCTGTATATAGCAGGTGCCCAACATGTGAGCATGGCCGTGGCCACTCTGGAGCTCCAGGGCGCCGGACCGCAGGCCAGCTGCAACCTGCTTTCCGTGCCTGACCCCGGGGATGGTCCTTTTTAAATCCAGCTCTCACCCTTGGCCTTTCGCAGTGGACTATAGCATCAATGACCTGCATGCATCAAAGTTTAGAACTACAAATGTGATCAGGCATGCAGGGAGGCTTTCTAAGTGTGCCACCCCATGCTACAAATGCCAGCCTGGGAACCTCCACCCTCCGGGTGATGAGCAGCCTGTTTACGTCACTCTCAGGATAGATACCGATAGAAATGCGTATCCCACGACACCCCAAATGGCTAACACCATCTGGCTCCACTGCCCCTGGGTAATTTACCCAAGAAAAATGAAAACAGGTGCCCACAAAAAGACTCAGACAGATTAGAGCAGTGTTTGTAAGACCTCCGCATGGAGACCCTCAATGCCCATCAACAGGAGAGGAGAGAAACTATGGCTCCAATGCCACTCTGCAATACAGAGAAAATACCAATGCAGGCATGAAGGTGACTCTCACAGATACTAGGGGTGTGCAAGAAGACCGCCCCTCCCCATAAAGCACATCCTAAGACTTCATTTGCGTGAAGTTCGAGAATGGGTGAAGCTAAGTATGGGGCCAGAAGTCAGAAATGGGCTGCCACAGCACAGAGGGGCTGGGTGGAGTGAAGAGGAGGACAGAAGCATCCTACATGTGGACCGGAAGGGCACTTAGAAAGTCCACAGACCGTGCACTGGAGTGGATGCAGGCAACTGTGTACAAGCTACATCACACCGGGTAGGCGGGAGGCCTTATAGCTCGCTGCTCCGAGCTGCCTGAAGCCGCAGAGGCTGAAACTGTGCACAGGACCACAACCCTGAACACGGGGCAACAGCTCGGGGACTGCCCTGGGGCTTGAGGCTGGGGGAGGACAGCCGGGCCCTGAGGACAAGTAGTCCCCAGGGTCTGTCGTCACCAGGAGGCAAAGGTAGCTGCAGGAGGCCCTGGGTGGAGAGAGCCGAGCTGGGCTCACAGGCCTGACACCATCCTGTGTGACCTGTCCCAGAAGGGGAAGTGAGCTCCACACACCAACCCAGGAGCCGAATGCACCGCGGGCGCCTGTGGCCTGGCTTCAGGACCTCAAGCTCTTGTTGCTAACTGATGACTTTGGGAGTCCTGGGTCACTGCTTGTCGTTTTACATTAAGCCAACCTCTTGACATGTCAGGGTCTCCCTGAGTGAAGGACCCAACCTGGATCCACCCTGTCACACTTCCATGACAGTTCTCTCCAGATGACCAGGGATTTCTCTTCTGTTGATTGTCTCACTTCCTTACTCACTCAGATCCATGAGAACGGGGCTGGTGGTTGGTTCCCTGTCCACTGGAGAAGGGCCCAGCAGGGCACATGGTGGGACCTCAACCAAACTTGCTGAATGTACAAATTCTATATTCATTAACACACAAAATAAGGCAAGTACAGAAACAGCCGAATTGCTGTTCCTAAGAGAGCAGAACAAATGCCCAAGCAACGGCCCTGCAATCCATGCCTGCCTCTCTCTTTCCAGGGAGCTGGGCCGAGGCTCCCTGTAGCATACATGAACTGTCAGGAGCTTAGATGACAGCATCCCAAAGTTCCTTCTGCCTTGGATCAAAGCACCAATGCCTTATGGCCAGAAGAGAAGATGGGGTCTCACAGAGCTGAGGGAGATGTAGCTCAAGTGACTGCTTGCACTAACACACGGGCCCTTCCAGCAAGCACAGACTGCAGACCCAGCACGAGGAAATGAAAGTGATCTACAAAACAAGGAGGGCAGGACAGGTAAGCTGAGCCGGCAAGCTGGCTAGCACACGGCCACAGAAGAAACATTACCTGAGCCCGAGCATGCATGTGTGTATACACGCGCTCACGCACATACAGGTACGTGCTCTGGCCAAGAACCTTAAAGCTCTCACTGTGACATCATTTAAAGAAAGTTAAAAACAGCAAGCAGAACTGGCACCTACCTGACACCAGGCTTACAAAAGGAAAGAGTTGTCCCCAGATGTGACCTATCCCCTGGGAGCTGCCACCAAACCCTACTGTCTGCCAGAACAGTGCAGCTTCCAAATCTGTTGGTCATCCAGACAGCTCTGAGCCTGCAGGTCTGAAGAACCGGGTTCATGTCCTGCCCTCGGGTCAGGCAGAACCATTAGGAGTCTTGTGCTCTCAGCCCCCATTTCCTGCCTGTCAACTGGGAGAGCCTCATCAGGCTTTGAGCCAGTTTCCTGCTCAAGGTAGTTAATGAACTGAACTTTAATAAGCAAAGCAGTGAACTCCAGAAAGAATCCTTATTCTTATCCAAGTGCAAATCCCTCGGGGCACCCTCCTGAACAGCAGGGCCATGGGTCTGCTTGTTTCTGGAGCACTTACTAGGTGGTCACCTCTGCGGAAGATGCATAAGGCCTGATCTTCAAATGATAGGTCATGGGGGGAAGGAGGTTTAGCTCTCTGGGTTCAGAGAAGAGGGGTTAGTGCGGTAGAGTGAGGAGTAGGGTCAGTTCGTACTCTGTGTCTTTGGGAATTCATTCTCAGTGTGGCAAATCACAGTGACCTCTGAACGGTGCCAAATGATGAGGACAGAGGCAGAAAGTCACCAGGAGGGCCCCAGCACTGCCTGGCATTTGACAGTAATGACACCGAGTGCAGATCCAGTACCTTTTGAGTAGGTGAGGGTGGTTTGCACTCTGGGTTCTACAGTCCGGACCACAGAGGGGACTGCCTGGCTCAGTGCTGAGACCACAGCGAGCACAGGAGGGAGGGAACCGAGGGGGACACCCAGCTATGCCAGGACACAGAGGGAAAGGACAGACAGGTGGTGTTTTGGGCTGATGCTACAGGGTTTCCCTTCGAGCCTGGTTCTCCTCTTCCCACTGTCGTAGCCAGCGTTCTGCTTGGCAGGGAATCGGGGTGGGTTTGTCTACCCCAAAGACAGGACACGGGACCCTGGCAGGGCCCCCACTCAAGGTCAGGAGGAGCGGCAGCTCTTAGCAGTGACCCTACGGCCGCACCACCAGTGCACACCCGACTGCATCTCAGCAGTGGGAAAGCTGCTCAGCCAAAGCAGAAACCAAAATTACACAAAGGGAAAACAGGAAGAGCCCCTGAAATAATAACGGCAAAGCGCTGAACACCCATGGCATCCTACTTCACTTCCCCCAGGGAGAACTCTTGCCCTCCCCAGCCCAGGGCCAACTGTGACTCCTGGTGCAGGCCGAGACCCCCACGGAGACCCAAACAGAGCTGGACTTGAACATGGTACTTTTAGGTGTGGGCTGGGGTGCCCCAAGGGCTCTGTGGATATGTGAACTGGGGCATCCCCCCAAAAGGTGCAGGTTCCAGCCCAAGTGGGAAGTTCTCGCACCCTAAGCGCCGAGTCTGCAGACTACTCCGCCCCAGGATCCTAGATCCCAGTAACCGTCAGGCTGCAGCCCCTGCCCTGATACTCACCATGTAGGAAGGGAAGATCAGAACTCGTTTGTGCTTGCCACAAGGCCACTGGGGGTCGTCCAGGAGGTTCGGGTCATAGTCCGTGAACTCTCCCAGGTCACTACCTGATGAAGACATGAAAATCACAAGGGCGGCCTGGGTCCTCCGAGGCAGAGGCAGGGGGAGAACACCCAGCACAGTTCCCAAAGTCAGGCCAGCTTCAGGAAGGTGACCTGGGGCCCGTCGGGGGCTCTGACCCACAGCAGGTGCCCTGCACAGGGATTCGGCCACTTCTCCGTTCATCCTGACACTGTTTCCTGTTTTACAGTTACATATTAGCCTCCCCAACTCGGAAAGCCCAGACACCCTCCAGGATGTAAGAGGCACAGAGGCCTCGCGCTTTACAGAATGTGACCCTGCAAAGGTGCATTCACTAGACCCGCAGGCCAATTTTGTAACTCGGGCTCGACTTGTGTGCGTACACCCTCAAACCAGAGCAGCCATCAATGCACACAGCTGTGAATGACACAGCACAGGTGTCTGCGACATGAGCACAGCGGCGGGGTGACATAAGAAGTCCTCATTCCCGAGGAATTCTTTCTGACAGTAGAAATAATGCCGCCTCCTACAGGAGTTTTGCTTTTGTGCCAGTTCTTACAAAGATGGTAAAATAAGGCAGGCATGGTGACACGGACTTGCAGTCTCAACACTCTGGGAGGCTGAGGCTGGAGGGTCTCATGTTGGAGCCCCAACTTTTGACTTTAGCCCTTGTGCCAGTTCTTACAAAGGTCTGGGTGGGCAAAGCCGGGTCTGCAAATGTTCCTTCAGTGGTCACTCACAAAGGAAGTTCACCCCCTCATCCAGCGTTCCAGGGCCTGACTGTCCAGAGGAGCCAAAGTAGAACAGTGTGACCACATGGGACACACGCATGTGAGTGTGAGTGAGCGAGCCCAGCCACCTCTTCTGGGTGCAGACGGCCGTGGCAGGACCCTACTGGCTAGAAGATCACCCTGACCTGGTTTGAACCTGCACAGCCCGGCACCAAGCTTTCCCTAAAGGAGACCCACGCTGTGCTGCGAAGCCAGGCGCCTCCCGCCGGGCGAGGTTACCTGTGTCCAGGCTGCCCTGGGTGCTGCCGGCCCGGCCAATGCAGAGGCTGCGGCGGCTCAGGCTGTGGAGCTGGGAGAAGGAGGAGGTGGAGTCTATGGTGTTTCTCCGGGCTCCGAAGGCATTCGTGGGTAACAGAAACTGGGTATAAGAAACCGTCTAAAAAGGCAAGATAAAAAACAAACCAGTGATTACTGCTAGACAATGCTGGGTTTGCACTTTGACCAAGGAATGTTGCCACCCTGAGTTTGGGTCTACTTTTTAAAATATGCCATGAAACCCAGTGTGATCTGAAACAATGCAAAACATTTTGGCATTGCTTATGCCAGATCCGTGCTGAAACCCCATCTGAACAGATGTAGAATTTTAACTCTGTTGGGTGGCAGAAATATTAACATGGTGGACAAGGAGTGACCTCCAGCTGTGCTAGGGTGTTGTGTCATATTTGAGACACACTGTACTACTGTTTACAAACCCCCAAATACAGAATCCCAGAACACATCAGGACCGAGTCTCGCGCAAATGCGGGTGCGATTTGCTTCTCATGGTGCTCAATTCCCTCCCTCAAGGGTCCTAGGAGGGCGCTCCGCTTTGGGGAAATGGAGCAAGTGCCTTTCTTTCGCCTGCCTGAGTGGCGCCCCGTGTGCAGCCCACCTACACCTGAGCTCGGGGTGCCGCCATTCAGGCCCAGAGCCCAAGGTGGAGGATGGTGAAAGTCACTCGCTGCTCCTGCTGCTACGTGGGACAGTTCCTCCAGAGAAACAGGCTGTGCAGCCAGGTGGTGATTACCCACAAGCAGCCCACGGGGCTCAAGTCTGTCTCTCGATTTTCACTCAAGACATTAGCCCAGGAGTGGCTGGGGAGGAATGGGGTGGCTTGTTACTTGCTGGTCACCAAAGAAGACTGGGGGACTGCAGGCTCCTTGGGACCACAAGAAGCCAAACACTGTTCTGCCAGCTGAATGTGTCCTACTGACACCCTGAGTTAACGATGTTGAAACCAGTGCTGCATCAGGCATGGGCACGGATATGTGTATATGAGTGTGTGAAGCATGTTCGGCGGTAAAGGGTATTGGAGAGACAGGCGCACGGCCTGGGAGCCCCCAAGCTGCACCTAGCCGGGCTGTGTGGGCTGGCAGAGCTACTTACCTCTTCACAAAGGAGACCCGAGGTCCCTCCTGCTGCCTCTGTTTCCTGACAATTGTGGTGGCCTCGTGAACTCAGGGATCAGAAATCCTGGAGCCTTACCTTCCCATCAGCCCCCAGCTCCACACCTTCCAGGCCAATGATCTCTTTCAAGTTCATGGCGCCTGCTGATTGTCTGCTTCCGTCCAACTTCAAGTCCCTGAGGACAAGCCAGAGGAAAATGCCTTGGTGTGGACCCAGAGAGCCACAGTGACGTGCACGGTGTGAGACACCACAGCCACACACACCAGGTGGACATACAGGTCCTGCGAGGTGGGGTCTCCGTGCCTGTCCGCGGGGGTGGCAGGATGTTTGGGGGGCAAGTCTGTCTTGTTTTATTCACTCTGACATCAACCGAGTCCGAAGAAAGAGACTGAAGTGGGAATGGGGCTCAGGAGCAATGGTGTACTGATGTCCCTGCATCCTCAGTGTGGCCCAGTGTCCAAAGTGGGCACCAGTGACCAAGGCCAGGGACCACTCCCCGGGTGCTGAGGCCAGTGGGGTTCTGAGGCTCTGGCTGCTTTTTGTGTGTCTTTTTTCCTTTCCTTTTTATCGGTACCGGGGACTGAACTCACGACTGCCTGCTTGCAAGGCAGGCGCTTATGCCGCTGAGCTAAACCTCCAGCCCCCAGCTGGGTTCTTTTTAAAGCTGGTCAGGCTACCTCTCATGGCCCCCCTCCTTTATCAAACAGGAGAAATAAATGTCCTGCACAATCATCAGGTTTGTCACTGGTGAGGAAAGGATGAATGCCATGACAGTCACCCCAATGACCTTACCAAGCCATCTAGGAGAGGAATGTCTGTCTATAAAAGAACAATTCCCAGCGATAACAAGTGTTTCTACAGCACTGCACAATTCCCCAAGACTTGGGTGCATCTTCTTTTTGGTTAGGATGACTCTATATGACAAGTATTACTACTGCTGACCCATTTTATAGAGGAGAAAACTGAGGCCCAGCATAAATAGCCTGCCAAGCACAGCAGGATGGTAGGTGCCAGGGACTGGTTTTGCATCTGATACTCTTTCTGGTGCCTTGGACAGAGGCACCATGACTATGCACAGGTGTAACTGCTATCAGAGGACAAAGACATCCTGTGTTTTATCAGTATGGATGGGACGCAGTCCTCTGGAGTTTTAATTGACACCAAGGTATTCTCATATGCAGCCCTCAGAGAGTGGCGCTCAGTTTGTCTCTAGGCTACATTGTGCCTGATGCCACCATTGAGCTCTTGCTCTGGGAACCCAAAGTCCACACTTGGGAGCAAGGACCTAAGCAAAGTGTTATGGAAAGGCACAGAGCCAGAGTCCAGGCCAGAGACACACAGCAAAAGGAGAGAGAAGTGGTGAGTGGGGAGGAGAGAGGAAAGAAGGCCGCTGTCCAGAGCGCAGGACGAAGAGGGCATCTCTGATTCTGCTCTGCCACCGCCCTTGGCTACAGACACCGCAACAAACGGATGGACTCCCGGGCCTGCCCGAGACACAACGCCTGACTCGGGGCAGTTTTCAAGACAAGCACAGACCTGCTGCACCCGGTAAGCAGGTGCCGCCTTTTATGGCAGTCTCCTTGGGAGCCTGGGGCACTGCCATGCTCGGGACGACCCCGAAGTCCTGCAGTGTTTTAATAGCCCCTTGCACGGCCTTCTGACTTTGCAGGGCTTCCCCCTGGAACATCCTCACTGGAGTCTGCGCTTCCCCCTCCTCCCGCTCATCCCCTAGCTTCTGTATAAACGACGCCAGAGGACAGCAGGGTTACTCGACAGGCCACAGCACCTTGTTCTGTCCCCACTTACAGGACCATGGCCCAGGGATGACCCCTCAAAGGCCCCTCAGAGTGACACAGGCCAGAGACTTGCCAGAAAGACTCCTCCGTGAGGCTGAAAAGAACAGAACGGGAACTGGGAGAAGCCCAGGGAGGTGAAAGGGAGCCGTCCAGAGTGCTCCCAGATGCAGTGCTGGCCACAGGCAGGAAGTGCCCCCCATTTCTGTGCCCTGTCTGCCCAACATCGGACACGGGGAGGCGCCGAAGGGGTCACTGAGAGGCAGCTGCCTCGCTGGTCCTGGGTCACACAGACGGCGCGAAGCCGAGCGCTTTCCATGGGCCCCCTCTTCCTCTTCCTCCTGCGTGTAGCTTACCGCAGCAGAGGCAGCTTCGCCCGACAGTCTGACCCTACACCTCCCCAGGGACATAAATTGAAAGCTATAGCAAAAACTATACTGCGCGTGCTTATGTAAACCCACAATTCCTGTCCCTGAGTTAAACCCCAAAGCCTATTTAAAGAACAGGGACTTGCAGACCCAGCCCATTGTCCCAGTGCTTTGGGGGCCTGTGGGACCACATGAGAGAGAAAAGCCAGCCCAAGCTTGGCCACACCTACCTGCAGCTACAGCTTGGGAGAGTCAATGTGACTTGCTGGAGTCTAAACTTCCCACTGGCTCTTTATGGACATCGCAATCCTTTCTGAACAGCTGGGGCCCAGTAAGAAAAGGAAGAACGGCATGGCCACCTCTGAGCTGTGCCACAGTCACATGTGGCCAGGGTCAGACCAGTGCTGTCCACAGCTTGACCTCGGAGTGGGGGACTCCACGGCTGTGCCATCAGTCCCACATATAATACGTGTATGACCTGGATCTGGTGCCCTGTGTTTCTTCTAATGGGTGGCCTGGCTGTTCGCTGGCTGTTCCCAACATTTCCAGGTGATGTTTGTCTTCCAGGCCTGTCATTGCAGGGGGCTCTGCCAAGTGTCCTACAGGCAGGACCTGGTAGGTTGGTGGGTTGGCAGCCCTGGGGCACACTAGGGAGCCTTGGCCATGTGAGGGCCTCACAGGAGCCCAGGCCTTCTTCACACGGGCACGGGGGTGGTCGGGGACCCCAGGACGCCTCCAGCCCTGAGCAAGAGGAGTGGAGTTCACGTGAAGCAGGTGAAAAGGAGGAACACGTTTTTTTTTTTTTTGCACACCGAAACAGATGCAAGACACTGACACACCAAAACAGGTGTCTGCAACATTGGCACTTTAAAAACTTCACTGCCATGGTAACAAATGTCACCCCCTCTCTAGGACACTGACTGCTTTGTGATAGTGGAGGACACATGTTTTTATACATTTCCCCCCCTCAGATTCAGGGGAAGTTGTCACTGGCTTCAGTCCATGCATGCACCAGGTCCACACGTGTCTAGTCAGCTCACAGAAGATGCAACGGGACTTGCTGAAGCCACTTCTAATGGACATCAGTCTCCTTTCGCAGCTAAGTTTATGTACAGTGGGACAGCCAGGATCTGACACATAAACACCCTAAAGAGCCTGTAAAACATCTGTGTTGATTTGTCTTAGGTAAGTACTCTGATAAGTGTCGCTGATACTAATGTAAACCATACAAATTTGCCCTTTGGGGGCCTTATTTGACCTAGGTACTAAGAGCACTTTCACATCATGCCCCCGAATATTACAGATAACTGCTTGGGTCTTGTATGAGTGCAAAGCAAGCCAAGGAAACACAGCTTTTGGAATCCCACGGTCTCAGGAGCTGGGAGAGTTAGAGGGACCCACAGAAAGGAGCGGCTCAGACTCACCCAGAAAAAAATCTACAAACTCCACCGAAAAAGAATCAAGCAGACATCCCAGTGGAATGGAGATAAAATCTTGATGTTTTCTTTCTAAGATCATTGTTCTGGGTTCTCATAAAATGGTCATGGAAATAAAAATATCTGCTGGCTCGCATGCCGGAATGAACCGTCCAGTACCAGGAGACGGAGCTGGAGAATGTGGAGTCTCAGCGGAAAGCCATTAAAAATGAAATGAAGTTGGACTCTTCAACTTCTTTGAAAAGCCTAGAGACTTTCTTTTTCCCAGATACATGGAGAGTTCAAAAAATTAACTTATTTATAGTCCGTCTCCTTTTAAAAATGGAAGAGGCACAAACCAATTCCAAAGCTGCGCTTCCGCCCGGCTCCCAGAGTTCTGGGCAATGCTGCCACCCAGACTTATTTCCCTACGTGAGCTCATTTCTCATTCTGTGCAAGTTTTTGTTTTTTCCATTTGTTTGTTGAGACAGGGTCTCACTAGTTTAGGCTGGTCTCAAACTCACAGCGATCCTTCTGCCACAGCCTCCTGAGTGCCGGGATTACAGGTGTGGAACACCAGGCCCAGCCCATTACTTCTGCAGAGGTTGTAGGCAACAAGTCCATTTTGGAAACCCAGAAAAAAAATCTACAAACTCCACCGAAAAAGAATCAAGCAGACATCCCAGTGGAATGGAGATAAAATTTCTTATTTTTTGTTTTCTTATTTTTTTCTTTTCTTATTTTTTGTTTTACAGAGCTGATGTTCGAAAGTGGTCAATGCAGGCACGGGAGTGGTAGGAGGGGAAAAGAGGTGCTCAGGAAGGATGGGTGTGAGAGTAGGGGTTAAGGCAGGACATGAAAGTACATTTGGGGAGACAGCCATGCAACAGACATATCCTGTAGCAAGGAAAACAGGCTGGTTGTGGGGGTGTATAGCATCCTTCGCACAACTGTGCGATTTGTTTAACATAATTCTTTGAAAGCCTGTGGCCTCATAGTAGGAAACCCCTGGAGCCACCCTAGCCTTGGGTTCTACAGCATAAAGCAAACACACGTTGCTCACTACTGTGGAGCCATCTGATCAAAGCACATGGACAATCTAGACATCTTGGGGCTCAAAGGGGATCGCCTAGGTCATGATAACTATCAGATGGCCAGTTCTGGATTTCATTTGTTGTAAAGGGCGAAATAATTTTTCATTCCTCCTCCTGTGTCTTGCTGGCAAGGGCCCAGCTGGCTGTTCATTGAGCCATAATGCACAGAATTGATCTTGATGGGAAAACAGGATCCCTTGTTAGAAGGCAAGACATTCGAGCTACGGCTCATTCCTCAGGGAGCGTGATTAATGAACCAATATTATGCTTTGAAAAAATATGATCTAATACTTTACAGCTGGGAAATAGATGGAAAAAGTGTGTGTGATCCAATTAACTATGTTCCAAAGCTTTCTGCCTCCGAGACAGGGCTACCCTGACTTCTAACCATGATCACTCTTTAATGGCGCCCTAAGCTCAAGACCTTGGAGCGCTAGCCAGGATCTCTGCTGGGCGCTTGCTCTTTAGAGGACAACAATAGCTCCAACACTCTGATGCATCAATA